CCCCCTTTCCCCCACACCACTACCACTATCAAAAACATCTACAACAGCAGCAACAAGAACAACAAGACTTAATAGTAGCAATAACAACAGTAATACATGTAGCATCAACAAACAAACAAAAATAGCAAAAGCAGCAACAATAACAACAACAACAATTACAACAGCAAAAACAACTTCGAAAACAATAGCAGAAGCAACAACGGCAGCAGCAACAACAACAACAACAATAACAACGAAATAACAATTACAATAAATCAAAGGATCAATCAAGAGTTAAAATATGAAAGATTCCCTATAAAAATAGTTTCTGGAACAGAAGTTACAGTTGAAAGATCACATTGGAGAAACACAATGAAAGGTTGAAGAATATCATTCTGTCCCCTGGTAAAATATTAGAGCGAGCTGCGGCAAAATCCGAATCTTGGATCTGGTTATCCGATAATTTCTGACAACGGAATCATTTTATTCGTTCTGTTTTTTAGTTTTAGTCAGAGTTTTACGGCACTTGAAACACAATGAAGTCGTAAAAGTACCGAAGATTAGAGGTGATATGAGAGAGTAACAAACACAAAAAGAGAGGAAAGATAAGGATGATAGATGTTTGTTTGGAAAGAAGGAGCAAACCACATCTGAGCACCCGCCAGTCACCCATTTTTGTTTGTCCTCACGAGGTCTGGAATACTGATCTGTCTTAACAGAATGGTTCTGTCTGTGCAAGAGACGCAGTGTCATATAACGCTACTTAGTCAGCCCGTGCCTTGTACTCATTGCAACCGACATTTTGTTGTGTGACTTAGCCTAACTGAGCGATGAACGTTAACACTTAAACCTTTACTGCACAGACAATAATCTGGTGAAACGGAAGACTACATACTGGTCTATTTTTAAAAAGAAAGAAAGAAGTAAAGTGTACCTTATTTTTACGCCCCTATCGACACGGTTTGGATAATTTAGGAGGCGGGTTTCCCCACCCTGCATACAAACGCAGATACTTGATATAAAAACGTCCCCTCACGGGAATCAAACTCACGTCTTCTGTGTGCGACAGCGAGGAGTCTAACCGCTATACCACGTTATGCCTAAGTGCCTAAGTTATACCGGTGTGCCTAAGTACAATCTACTTGATACTATCAAGAACCC